TCCTCGGCTTTTTCTGATGTCTGCTTCAAAGACTTGGAGATTAGGCTACGTGTCACCCGGGCGTCCTTGAATGAGTTATTCTAATGAACCGTGTTCTCTAAAAATGAGAGATAATAGTATCGAGCTCATGGAATTTTGAAATGACAAAATGTGTCCAAAATAATTAGAACTTGGCTCCTGAAAAGTATCAAGCATTTCATAAACATTTAGCTCAAGATGGATTATTTCCTGGAAAATAACAAACATGTGTTTAACTGTATTACTGATCCTAAAATAATATACGCTCACTGTGGAAAACGTGATAAACAAAACATACAAATCAAGACCGTCTGTAGCACCACCAGACAGATAGAATCATGACTAACACACGGGTGTGTTAAGTGGAAAGAAAGTAGGTGAAGTCCTGAGCCCTGCAGCCTAGCACTGAAGTGGTCAAAACGCAACTATATTGTAGTCAGATATACGTAATTGGTACAAAACTTTGCAATACGGTGATATTGCAATAACGGTGCAATAAGGTGATACAAGATTGCCCTTCAGAATATCTACATTTTATCTCTACGTATATTTATCTAAAAGAACATCTACATTGTCAAGGATAGTATGGTTGTAAGTGGCAGGCAAATCTTTCGGTGGACACTGAAGATTTCCTTCTAGAAGGAGGACTGATTGCTTCATCTCACATCACGGGGTACTGTCACAGCCTGGTGCAAGGCGACTGGGGGTCTACATCTGAGGAGCAGGCATATTCTCCTCTCGTCTGTTCTTGACAACTCCGAGAAATGAAAAGTCTATCTCACTGTAGTGTTTTTGTCTAACAGGGTTTTTGGAGAGGTTAGGATTACCAAGGATGGGGAGGGTAGTATAAGGAGTGTAACTGCCGGGTACCGCGACCTTGCCGTGGGAGAAAGGGAAGCGAGTCTCTACACTGTAGGCAGTGCTATTTCCTACATCCGGTGAGCTTGCTGCGACCCATACGAATTACACAGGCTCCGAACTGTGCGTAGGAACCTTGAGGCTCAGCCTTGGTTTGGGGGCACCAGACTCGCAACATCAATCATTTGAGTCTCTGGAGACACCTGCCACTCACCCTGTTGTGTGATCTCAGGCAGGTTACCCTACCTCTCTGAGCTGCAATTTCCTTAAATCAAGACTCTTGCTTGCAAGCGACGACAATTTAATGTAAAGTTGGGTAAATAAAAAGGAAATGTATTGCCTCTGAGATAGTATGAGGATAACTAACATCTGTTGGGAACTCTGTTTGCTGAAGCCTATTCTAACGGTAATTGCTTATTTAATCTGTCCACAGTTTTATACAACAGGTTGTGTCATTATTTCTGTCTTAGAGATAAGGAAACCGAGGCATCAAGGCAGTACCCAAAAATATGCAGTTAGCGAGCATGAGGCTGGGACTCAAATTGATAGCAGATAATAAACAGCTGTTGAATAAATACATGGACTGCCAGAAAGTAACCAGCATAAATAGAGGAGTTGTCTGGAAGTAATAAAACATTTACAAAGCCAAAAGCATCACTTTGTTTCCATCTGATCCACTCAGTTTATTTCTGTTTCGTAGTAACAGCAGGATCCTTATCCTCTCCTATCTTGGTTTCTGGTCACCAGACAAGCCAGTGTGCTAAGAGGCTGTATCATTACTGGGATTAACACGTGTAGCGGGTTCTACAGATAAGGAATCACCAGCTCCATGTCATGTATGAGATGGGAAGCAAAGCAATTATTCAGTTTCAGTGTAACTACCGTTCAAGATGCATTTGGAGCACAAGGCCTTTCAATAATAAGAAAAACACGTGCTGAGTTAAAGACAACCAGGAGGATTTGCCTCTACCTATCAAGAGATCTCTGCATTTCATTCAACTTTTTGTTGAATTTTTTTTATTTATACTATTATTTATTTATACCTATTTATACTTTGCCTTCTTTCAAAACGAATTTGAAGTGTATGAGGCATTTTTTTAAGGTTCCAAGTCTTGTCTAAAAAGGCCACCTTGTGATAAAAAGCTTCTGCACAGCAAAGGAAACAATCCACAAAACTAAAAGGCAACCAATGGAATGGGAGAAGATATTTGCAAATGACATATTCAATAAAGGGTTAGTATCCAAAATCTGTAAAACACTTACCAAAACTCAACACTCAAAAAAAAACAAATAGTCCAGTAAAGAAATGGGCAGATGACATGAATAGACACTTTTCCAAGTAGACATCCCAATGGCTGACAGACACATGAACAGATGCTCAATATCACTCATCACCAGGGAAATACAAATCAAAGCCACACTGAGATACCACCTCACACCTGTCAGATGGCAGTTCTTTTTTTCACTACTAGGTATTTACCCAAAGGATACAAAAATACAGATTCGAAGGGGTATATGCGCCCTGATGTTTATAGCAGCATTATCGACAATAGCCAAACTACATGTCCACCGACTGACGAACGGATAAGGAAGATGTCGTGTATACACACAATGGAATATTGCTCAGCCAACAAAAAGAATGAAATCCTGCCATTTTCAACGACATGGATGGAACTAGACTGTATGCTACATGAAATAAGTCAGTCAAAGACAAATACCATATGATATCACTCATATGTGGAATTTAAGAAACGTAACAGGTGAACACATGGGAGGGTGGAAAAAGAGAAAAGACAGAGGGAAGCAAACCATGATAGACTCTTAATGCTAGAGAACAAACTGAGAGTTGCTGGAGGGAGGTGCATGGGGGATGGGTTAGATGGGTGATTGGTATTAAGGTGGGCACTTGTTATGATGAGCGCTGGGTGTTATATATAAGTGATGAGTCACTAAATTCTACTCCTGAAACCAATATTACACTATACGTTAACTAGCTACAATTTAAATAAAAGCTTGAAAAAAAAAAGTCCACCTGGCAGATGCCCCATTTAGAATATAACAGAAAGTTATCATAAGGCCAAGCTAAAATGTGCACACACTGAAAGTATGAAAGAGGTAACAGTAAAAAGCAACCAAGGTAAAAGGAAAACACTACAGACAAAATTACCACAAGGGATAGACTTCCTTAGCTAAATTGTAATAACTAACAACAGTATACAATTCCCTGAGGTTCAGTATTGCAATAATTCACTGAATAACTACCGTGTAGTAAACACTTTTCACGTGTCAACAATTCAACAATTTCTTAACGTGTCTTTTAGGCGCCAGGCTCAGTTCTAGGAGCCAGGGATACAAGAACGTAAAATAGCTTCTCCTCATAGAGCTTACGTTTTAGCAGGGGGTGCACAAAACGAGGAAGAAGGTGGGATATTCAGTATGTTAGACAGCAGTAAGGCTCACATTAGTTGTAAGAAGTGAGTTATTATCTCACATTTCACAAGAGGAACATACAAACTAGGTTAGCTGTAATTTCTCGCTGCCAATTTTATTTCCAATCAATAGTATTTTGACATTTACACACTATTCCTGAAACAATTCCTTGCAGCTTAAACGGGAGATAGACTTATTTATATTGGAAATGTCACCTATACAGCATTCAATAGGATTTTTCCCCCCAAGGGGCACTGAGAGCTAATTTTTTTTTTAATTTTTTTTTCAACATTTATTTATTTTTGGGACAGAGAGGGACAGAGCATGAACGGGGGAGGGGCAGAGAGAGAGGGAGACACAGAATCGGAAACAGGCTCCAGGCTCTGAGCCATCAGCCCAGAGCCCGACGCGGGGCTCGAACTGACGGACCGCGAGATCGTGACCTGGCTGAAGTCGGACGCTTAACCGACTGCGCCACCCAGGCGCCCCGCACTGAGAGCTAATTAACTAATCAAGCATAGTTCACTGAATAGTAAACCGGGACCTTGTATCTTTTTCAGTATTTCACCTTGATCTAACGACACTATTGACCCTCAAAGTCCGGAAAGTGCAGCACTCAAATGAAACAACTGCTAGACTTTTTCTTGTAAAGTCTAGAAGGTTCGGTACCTTTTTTTATTTTTTCAAACATGCTGTGGTTCATCTAGGTTTAATTATTTGACCGAAGAAAAAAACACTCTACACACAGGTCATAATGTTACCTTAAGACCTCAAAGTATTTCCCCAAACTGTCTTTATGTTGCCACAACGGCGAATCCTGCTGCTTACCCAACCAACGTCCATTCCCATCCCCAATGTCCCTTGATGGCAAAGCACAATTTACATACTAGAGGCTGACAGAGGCCCATGAAGGCAATTTACCCACCATGGACCACACAGTCTGAGTCTTAACCTCTGTTCCTTCTCACGTTGCCTACATTCTAGCCATAATGGAACTTCTGAGCTTCCCGAGATATGTCACGTTCCTTCATGTTCCTTTGTGTTCACATGCTGTTCCCTCTACATGGAACATGTTTCTTCCACATCTTAACTTGGCTAAACCCTTAAACCATGTTCAACCCAGCTTGGGACCTCAGTACTTCAGGCTGGGATGGGCGGTTTTAGCATGTGTTCCTACAGCCCCCAGGGCATAACCTGCTTCTAGCATGTAATTTGTTTCATAAACATGCACGTGATACTCATTCTGTGCCAGGCACCATGCTAAGGGCTTTACAACTATTCTCTTAATCCTCCTGGCAACCCTGTGACATACATCTATGATCATCACACCGTTTCGTCACCACTGGCAAGGTTGTTGATCTTCTCCGTTCTACTACGAAGACTGGATTATGTTATGGCCAGTCACCTGCGAGCCTAGTACAGGGCCTGGCACACAGTAAGGATTCAACATGGGCTTGCCGAATGAATGTATTTTGTTTATCGGCTCTATAAGAAGTCATCCAGAGTTAAGGTAAGTTTAGATGGTACCAGAGTAGAGGACCACAAGAGAGCTCGCATACGTGTTTCTGAGGGCAAGACGAAGACAGAGGAGGATCTGCACCAGAAGACCTTTGTAAACAGGAGGCCCCCAAAGGGCAACACGAAGGACAACAGGGAGCAGCGAACAAGAACAACGAGAGGAACACGAGCCTCACCTCTTTCACGGTTTTGGCCGGCATCGTCTCTGAGGACAAGGCTAAGTGACCCAAGGCCAGGGAGTTCGATTTCCTAGGTTGCCAGGGAATCCAGAGACCTTCAGTCTGTAACAAACAGAGAATTATTAGGTTGAGGAAACCAGACCCCACTTGGACCCTTTGGTGGGATGACGGCGAACTTGCCGGAAAGCTACAAGTCCTCTGGACCACGAAAGACTTCCGGAGGGCACAACACGCCACCTCCCCCACCAGCTGGTTTCAGAGTTTGTTCTTACTTGTTGATAACTTAGGTTTCTGAGGAATTTGGGAGCTAATGTTTATAGAGGCTTTTGTTTTTGTTTTAGAGTTTGAGAGAAAGAGAAAGCGTGTGCAAGTGGGGAGGGGGCAGCGAGAGAGGGAGAGAATCCCGAGCGGGCGCTGGGCTGTCAGCACAGAGCCCGACGTGGGACTCTATCTCACCAACTGGGAGATTATGATCTGAGCGGAAATCAAGAGCCGGATGCCTAACCCACTGAGCCACCCAGGTGCCCCAGAGGTAATTTTTAAAATATTTTTTTGTAGAGATGGAAAACAACCGATCAAAATGTTCAATGAATTCTCCCTATCTGCAGAGGATATTTTCTTAAATTCTTACAATACAGAAGACCTCTGATCACTCACCCTATACGTTAACAGTAGCTGGTGCCTGGGGGTGCCTGGGTGGCTCAGTCGGTTAAGCGTCCCACTTTGCCTCAGGTCATGATCTCGCAGTCCGTGAGCTCGAGCCCCGCGTCGGGCTCTGTGCTGACAGCTCAGAGCCTGGAGCCTGCTTGGGATTCTGCGTCTCCCTCTCTCTCTGCCCCTCCCCTGCTCATACTCTGTGTCTCTCTGTCTCAAAAATAAATAAAAACATTTAAAAAAAATAAAGAAAAAATAAAAAGAGTAACTGGTGCCTGGGGAGCTCAATCAGGTGGGCGTCTGACTTAGGCTCAGGACATGATGTCACGGTTCGTGAGTTTGAACCCCACGTCAGGCTTTGTGCTGTTAGCGTGGAGCCTGCTTCAGATTCTGTCTCCCTCTCTCTCTGCCTCTCCCTTGCTAGCTCTCTCTCTCTCAAAAAGAAATAAACATTAAAAAAATTAAAAAAATGCATAGCTAACATTTATTTTTAGTCGGGTACAGCATTTCACATGGAAAAAAAATCTCATTTAATCCTCATGATGGTGAGTTAGGTATCATTACTAACCTAATTTTGTTGATATGAAAACTCAGTATCAGAGAAGGTGAGCAACTTGCACAATTTGCCAAGTGAATACGAGATTAATTTCCCCCTAATTCTTACCCCCCTCCCCTTAATAAAGACAGAATCATTGATTAGGGTTAAGTCTGGGACTAGCTCTGGGAATTTCAGTATTAAAAATGATAATTTGTGAATCCCAATCCCAGATAAACTCTTGTGTAATAAAATTTCCTCTCACGAAGACGGGGGATTCATTAGTTTTGTTTGTTCGTTGGTTTGTTTGTACATTTTAGCAGCCTCTCCAGACGTGGTCTATCCAGGCACTTCAATGTTCGCATTTTACATGTGGGTAAGCTAGAGGTATTTTAAGAGCACTTATCCTTGGAAATGCAAATCAAAAGCACAAGGAGATACCACTTAACATCCATTAGGATGGCTACGATAAAAACAGTACATAATACCAAGTGCTGGTGTAGCCAATGTGAAGAAAAGTTTGGGCGACACTCAAACATTTAAGCAGAGAGTTACCCTATGACTTATCAGTTCAACTTCCAGGTAGACATAACGAGAGGAATTTAAAATACCTGTGTACACAAGAAGCTCATCACAGTATTATTCCTAAGAGTCGAAGGGTGGAAACAACCAAACTGACCTCCGACTCGCCAAAAGATCAACAAAATGGGGCACGTCCATCCAACAGAATATCATTCAGCTATGAAAACCAACCAAGCACTGATGCACGCTACAACCAATGAATAAACTTTGAAGATACTGTGGTAAATGGAAGAAGAAACGAGTGTCACAACAGACCGCATTTGGCATGATTCCATTTATAAGGAATGTTCTGAAGAGGCAAATCTACGCAGATGAAAAAGGGATTAGTGCTTGCCCAGGAATGGAGGGATGGGGAAATGGTAGGAGACTACTGAAGGGTATGGGGTTTCTTTTTGGGGTGATGGAAGCGTTTAGAAGTTGATTCTCATAACGCAGGCACAACTCTGTAGATATATTAAAGCCAGGAACTGTGCGGTTTAAATGAGCGAATTTACAGGGGCGCCTGGGTGACTCAGTCAGTTGAGTGTCTGCCTTCAGCTCAGGTCATGGGCTCGCTGTTTGGTGGGTTCGGACCCTGCATCGGGCTCTGGGCTGACCTCGTGGACCCTGGAGCCTGCTTTGGAGTCTCTGTCTCCCTATCGCTCTGCCTCTCTCACTCCCTCTCTCTCAAAAACGAATAAACATGGAAAACATTTAAAAAAATAAATGAGTGAATTTACGGGATGTCAATAAAACTGTTTTTTAAAAAAGCGTTTATTCACCTTCACTCCCAACAAAACTTAGGAACACTCGGTCATCTGATAGAGTACACGGCAACGATACAAGGGTTTAGTTGTATTGTTTTACTCAGTATACCGCTCACCTCAGTTAGTTGTTTGGCATTAAGCAGAACAAGAAAAGGAATTCTCAATGCGAGGTGGGGGGCAGAAAGCATCACCCCTTTCGGCAGAAACACAGATGGCTGATTTGTCCATTACACTAGGAAGGGACTAGAGGGCGTTATGCTAAGCACAATAAGCAGTCGGAGAAAGACAGATACCATATGACTTCACTCATGCGGGGACTTTCAGAAACACCACAGATGAACATAGGGGAAAGGAAGGAAGAAAAAGACAGTAACAGAAAAGGAGGCAAACCATAAAAGACGCTCAAACACAGAGCCCCCCCCGGGGGGCGGGGGGGGGGGGGGCGGGGGGGGGAGGGGCAGAATGGGTGATGGACATTAAGGAGGGCACTTACTGGGATGAGCACTGGGTGTTATGTGTGAGTGGGGAGTCACTAAACTCTACTCCTAAAACCAAGACTGCACTGTATGTTAACTAACTTGAATTTAAGTAAAATTAAAAAAAAAAAAAAAAAGAAAACAACTCACACAAAGAGGAACACGTTGGGAAATGTTCCTTCTTCCATCCTTCTGTTCATGAGATGGCCCCATGCCGTGGACTCTAAAGTTTAGAAGCCTTTAAAGCATTTTTCCTTGACCCAATGGCAGCAAAGTAATAAGTAATGGCAAGAAATGATTTTTGAGGAGGAAACTTCATCTCCAGGGAACTGGATCACACAACTGGCCTGACAACTCCCTTACCCCTCAACGTACATCCCAGACATTTCCCAGAGTGGAAAACTGTTCCCAGGACTTTATCTTATCAGCCCACTGACATCCTCTTAAATACCAAGTGTTCTTCTTGTTCTTAGGAATACAAGCCCTTTTGAATGTCAAAAAGATACGGGAAATATGTTTATACTCACATGTGTACGTAGCCCAACTTCAATCAGGGGAGTCTCCAAGGAGAAAATGTCTCAGCCCAAGGATGATTGTCAATTACGTTGTATATTGTGGCTGGATAATTGAGTGGCCTTTCTCCAACTGAACAGCTGACGCAGTGGGAGTCACACTCTGAAATGAACAGGGGGAAGAGTTACCCGGCGCTAGCCGGGCAGAATGGAAAGGATGCAAAGAAAATAAATATTCATTGCATTCTGAATGCATGCAGAACATTCCGGCTTTTCCAGAGGGATGAGTCAGAAGCCAGAGAGTCGGGCAACAGTCTGACAAGAGACGGGAAATAGCGAGGTACCCTAGGTGGTGGCATCCTTTTGAGCTTGGGCGTCTCTTTAGGTCAAAACAATAGCTCTTTTTAAACAAAATGTACTGAGAATTATCTTTTTTTTTTTTCATAACGTGGATTAAGTGCGTCACTAAATGCACACAGGGAATGCCGAACCGTCTGCCATGACTTTCCATGCTCATTGACCATTCCCCCTTTGTCCTCGGATTGTTGGGTACTAATTTGAGAAACTCCTCATTGGAGAAATATTTAGAAGGTAAATGCATCAGGATTGTTGATGGTTTAGGTGTGGGATGAGAGAGAAGGTGACGCGTCACAAGGATTCCTCTGTTTTTAGCAGGGAGACTGCCACGTGCAAACAAGTTTAAATTCATTTTAGAGGAAGAGACATCAGTGCCAGTGGGTGGAAGTGATGTGATAAAGGAAAAGGATTATTGCTGGTGAAATGCTGTTTCTGTGCTGGTCTCCAAGTTGATACAGCGCAACTGTTTGAAAATAAAAGGTGGCACCTCGGGGGAATGAAAACACCTCGACTACCCTTAGGGATGATGTAGAACAAGGCTTTTCCAACTTGAAGGTGCTGGGAATCATCTGGGGACCTAGGCAAAATGCGCTTGCTTCACTAGGTTGGGCTGGCGCCTGAAACTCTGCATTTGCAAGCGACTCCTGGGAGATGCCTCCGCTGCTGGTTCATGGGCCAAACTTTTTGTCGCAAGGATGTATAACAAGTCTCAACCTATTAGTGGTCATGAAATCAAATTAACGGGTTGCTATAAAGATTAAAAACAGATACAGAATGGAAGGGGAAAATATCTGAATTCATTGCACAAAGTACTGTTTTATGCAAACTCTCAGTTATGTCCAGTTATGACCCAGTTTACTTATACTGCAACATAATATATCTTATACATTTCTTTTTTATCCTGGTTCACAAGCCAAGACTCTGGAAAGCTAGGACTGTGGAGGAAACCTATGCTAAGAGACTGGATTAGAGAACCATTTAGGCTCCTTCCTACTTTGAAATTCTGCGTCTGTGCAAACTTAGGTCTCGGATTCAAACGTCTTGTTCTAGCATTTGCAGAATATTCAAAGAGCCTTGAGTATCATCAAACGCACGAACTTCATCCTCATGTTGGGAGCCCAAGATGCCGAACACAGCAAGGCACTACGTAAAGGTGTGTCATTTCCTGTAGTTAGCGAATTATGATGCAAAAGCCCAGAGAGCCCCTCCTTCTGGGGGAGATATTTGGTTCTTATTTCTGTTGTTGTTTGGATGCAGGGTCATTCGATTAATTACAAGGGGCTGTTAAGATCAATTTGTGAATTACAGGCAAGGCTATTTCGAAGTAAAATAAGAACCTAGAAGAGTTCATGTCATTTTCAGAGCTACCTTATTTGCAAGGTCATGTCTCAGACTCTAAATAAATCTGGTTCATTATTTTTTAACTGAACGAAGATTGCATTTGAAATTCAATCAAGATACAGTGTCACTTTTGTTATTGCTCTAATTTACAATCTGTACCAAAAATATCTTAGTTTAAAGGATTATAAGCTTCGCAAGGGTAGGAACACACAGACACACACACACACACACACACACACACACACACACACACACAGTTTGTAAATTTAGAGTTGGGGCAGAGCAACCAAGGGCAAACAAAAGCAGCTTCAAAGGGAAAGAATGTTTTCATGAGGTATTTCAATTTGGAGTTTTACTACTCCAGCAGTCACAAGGGTAAGTATGCTGTCTGAGAAGAAGTCACTAATATATGACTTCTCTTGTTAGCGTCAGAACCGAAGGAGTGAGATTCGACCACTCCGGTTCATGTCACTTCTCTAATAAATCCCTGGCACAGTTTGAATTACATTAACTATAAAACGAATGGATACCATATTGTAAAACCATACAAAATATCCATTCTTTCTGTATTTTATAGCTGTTTTCGTTCATCACAAGATCATGTTTCATTTAAAAACATGAGCTGCTGTGTCAGATAACCTGTGGGGTCACGTCAGCATTATATTTTCTTCTTTAGTTAAAAATGATTAAGTCCAAGTCCGGTCCAAGTAATGACTATCAGTGCTAGAAACATCTAATCTGGTCTTAAAGCATTTCAATACAATTTGAATGTTTTGATGCAGAAAACGCAATGCGGAATGTTAGCTACTGAAGCTCCAAATGAGTCAATTTTGGGAAGAAATAAAAATAACTGAATTGCCTTGACAACATTCGAATGGAACTCAGAAACTGACTTCTCTTGATTCCTTCTTAATCACTCCACCATGTGCCTATCTTCACCTACGAAGCCCATACTCAGTGGTGTGCTAGGTATACAGGAAAGACAGGATAAACAAGAATTGAGCTCTGTCTTGAAATCCCTTTTAGCTGGCTTTTCTGAATTGCTAGAATTTCACAGATCAGAGATCAAATGGATATACACTCCACTCAACTGAACAGATCTGCATTGGATCCTGACTTTCTCTTCTTATTCTTAATTACATTACTATTTGGAATATCTCTAATTGGGCTAAAAATCAAATTATAGTCCATGTGCTAAGGAACCAACAATTAACAAGCTAATCAACTGTCTCCTATTTACATTTCAAATATTCAAGCTAACTGTTTACATGTCAGGCTATACCTTGATTACAGGTAAGAACCCTTATTGTAAAAAGAAATGGGACTTCCATGGTAGGCTTGAATTTCCCAAGTTCCACATTTCCTAACAGTGAGCTAAAATGAGTCACTATTTTCTCATTAAAACATAAAACACTGTCTCATTCGAACATACAGCATTAGAACTATTTAACGTTGGCCTCTGGGTGGAAAGATACTTCATGGACATCTTAACTGCTTCACCCTCTTCAGGCAGTGGCGAGCCTTTGGATGTGGTATATGTTCCTGATTTGTTCATTTTAGCTACTCTGCCCGGTATGAGGTGGTATCTCAGTGTGGTTTTGATTTGTTTTACCCTGATAAGAAGCGACGATGAGCATCTTTTCATGTGCCTGTTGGCCATCCGGATGTCTTCTTTAGGAAAAAATCAGGAGACTATAGTTTCTGGAGAGGATGTGGAGAAACGGGAACCCTCTTGCACTGTTGGTGGGAATGCAAACTGGTGCAGCCACTCTGGGAAACAGTGTGGAGGTTCCTCCAAAAATTAATAATAGATCTACCCTATGACCCAGCAATAGCACTGCTAGGAATTTACTCAAGGGATACAGGAGTGCTGATGCATAGGGGCACGTGTACCCCAATGTTTATAGCAGCACTTTCAACAATGGCCAAATTATGGAAGGAGCCTAAATGTCCATCAACTGATGAATGGATAAAGAAATTGTGGTTTATATACACAGTGGAAGACTACGTGGCCATGAGAAAGAATGAAATCTGGCCTTGTGTAGCAACGTGGATGGAAGTGGAGAGTGTGATGCTAAGTGAAAAAAGTCATACAGAGAAACACAGACACTGTATGTTTTCACTCTTATGTGGATCCTGAGAAACTTAACAGAAGACCATGGGGGAGGGGGAGGAAAAAAAAGTTACAGACAGGGAAGGAGGCAAACCAAAAGAGACTCTTAAAAACTGAGAACTGAGGGTTGACGGAGGGTGGGAGATGGGTATTGAGGAGGGCACCAGTTGGGATGAGCAGTGGGTGTTGTATGGAAACCAATTTGACAATAAACTTCATGTTAAAAAAAATAAACTGAACCAGACAGTGTTAAAAAAAAGGATAAATCTAACAAAATATGTGTTAAGATCTGTACACTGAAAACTACAAATTATTGCATGAAGAAATATAGGCATACCTTGGAGATATCATAGATTTGCTTCCAGACCACTCCAATAAAGCAAATACCACACACACACACACACACACACACACACACAAGTAATCTCTACACCCAGCAGGGGGCTTGAACTCCAAGATCAAGTATTTCTTCCTTCAAAGTATTCCTAAAGATGATTTGGTGATTACAGGTAGACCAGATCCAGTCCCAAGAAGCATGCTTGTCAATGAAACCAAACCTTCATGTGAGTTGGGTGTATAAATGTAAGGTTAGAAGCAGCTAGGTCTTAACTACTATGTCCAAAGTCTACGACTCCGTGAAGATCGATAACCCAAGAAATGCCACAATTAGTTTTTGAACTAATTCATGGTAGAATTGCTGAACAATGAGGACCTACCTATCCATTACAAATACCGTTGATTGTCTAGCAATCTTTCAGTGACCGGGTACAAAGGCGTAAAAGGGCTAGAAATTTTAGATACTAGACGGGACCAGTGGTGAAGATATTTGGGGCAGTGAAGCCTTTCGAACAATGTATTCATAGACGTCTAAATAAAAGGCTGCCTGGGACTCTATGTAAAGGAATATTTTAAATTGAAAACACTCATATTTAACTTCTCACTGCCAAGACCCAATCATTTTATGTAACTGTCAGATAAACCCTGCACTACATCACCTATCTTTGTATGTAACTGCCAGGTATATAGAAAATATATTTCCTCTTATTCAGCTTTTTCTATTTTCACAGTCATCTTGGAGAGCAGGAACTACACGCGTACCACACATGTAAAAATAATGATTTTCATCTTCTCCAAATTTCATTTCTAAGATTTTTTTTTTTTCAATTTAGGTCATATACAAGATGGAGAGGAAGCAACATGAACCTTTTTATTATTTTCACATTTTCCAAGTCGTAATTGGAGAAGTGCTACTTTATCAAACCTCACGAATAAAGGGAAATAGGAAAAGGAAAATGGTCTCTGTGTATCACTACAGAGATGCTATAAAAGAAGCATTTTTTCCCAGATAAGGG